AGGAACAAATCCTTCAAGTACTGGAGTATGTGAATAATTTAAAACATCCATGTTGTGTTTTATCTAGTAGTGTAACTACTGATGTAAGATACTCTCAAATCAAGCTGCTCTTTTAATACTGCAACACTTCTTTTCATGTATTGGTGAACATCACTGGCTTCGAGTGACATTAGCTGGTGATAACCTTTCTAGTAATTACCACGAAAGAATTTAATTATTGTTTAAAAATACAAGACAACCTGGATTTTTTTCAAAGCTAGGATGCTTTCAAAAGTAAAAGAGAAAAATACGTTTGAGCCGGTCCTAGTAATGAGCGTTTGTGCAAATGCTTGTAAAACTTCCATACTGCTGGTGAGTAGCAAAAATTCTGCTTAGTGTCCAACAGCTGTGCTCTGTCAGGCCAAGGATCTAGCGCTTTGTCTCTGACATGAAAAAAAAAAAACCAAACCCACCAACCACAACCAAAAGGGGGTACAAGAACAGAGCAATGCAGTACTCCGGTATACTCTTCCAGTTATTGGCAGCCTTTGGTTTCGGAAACTTCTTGAGCCAGGAGTTGCATCTGGAATGTAATCGAATAGTCTTTTTTGGACCTTTCTTCCATCAGTTTGTCTTGATTGCTTTTTGAGTCCATTTATGCTCTTGGCCAACATCTGATGTAAATGAGTTTATCTCGCTTGGGGGTGCATAGGAAAAACCTTTCTTTTAGTTTAACCTTCTGTTTGAGAACTGTGTTGCTGTGCCACTCGTACTTGCGTAGCAAGGGGTGGGGAAAGTATTTTTCTACTCCTTTTCTCCAAGTGGTTTGTAATTTCTGTGGATTTCTGGTATATTGTGCCTTAGTGATCTTTTTTCAAAACTGTGGATTTCTGGATCTATTTAGTGGTTTCTTCTGTGTAAGATGAGATACTTTATGAGTTCGATTGCATGTCACGCTCTTGTTACACCTTTTCTTGTTCTACCCTATCTCCATTCAGGTTTTGTACGTGCCAGGGATTTATAGTGACTTAAATATTTAAAAATTACTAGGAAAGGAATGGAACAGAGAACTTCCTATTTTTCCTCCCTAACTGGTGCTTCCAGTATGCTGCTGTTTTGCTACTTTCTAATGCCTGTCACTGCCCTTATCTCTGAATTTTAATTCTTTCTGTCTGTGCTTATTCTGGCTCCTGCTTTGATTGCAGCACAAAAGCTTTAGATCAGTTGAACTGTTCAGAAGTTTATTTCATATCAAAAGTTGTTGCCACATTTTTTTCGCATATTCCAAATTTGAAAACAGAATGGTAATTGACAGTATTCAGTCTTCTGAATGAAAGAGTCGATTGATGCTTTCTGTAGCAGTAGAAAATCAGAAAAACTATCATAGCAGCCTTGGGAAGGTTTACTGCGAAATGAGCACTGCAATGAAAATAATCTGGTGTTACCTTCGTTGTTGGAGCTCAGGAGGGAGTGTTGTACATGCAATAAGACTTGTTTGGTGGGGTTTTTCTCTTGCTTGTACTACTGGTGTCTGAGTACAAATTCAGTTTTGATAAATGTACTTTATTAAAGATATTAAAACTATTCTGTTCATTCTACAATAAATAGAAAATCTAGGAATTTTAATTAAATTTAATCTTCTAAATGGAATCTTTTCCTCTGGGCATCAACAGTACATATAAAGTTTAAGGTGTTTTAACTACAGATAAAAGTGACTCTCTGGCTATCTCCCTCCCTTTTTGGAGGAAAGAGGTATGGAAAGGGTTTTGAATGCGTTTCCAGAAAGAGGGAACCTTTCCTATGGTAATGTGTTCTGCAGAGTAATGGGGCAAGGATTAACAAATGCTCGTTGTGGCTGCAAAAGATAGTGTTACCAGTAACTCTGAAATGCGAGAATAGCAATATATGGGATCTAAATTTGGCAATTTCTATTTCTCCTCATCTTTCTGACATCTGCTTGTAGCATTTATAGAACCGCTTTGTGGAGATGGAGAAACATGAAGTTCAGATTTGCTTTACTGGGGATCTTGCTGAGTCACAAATACTTGTAACCGCTAGGAGTTGGGGGAAAGAAGCATTGGCCATTTTGCTCATTATGTAAAACTTTTACTCCTGATGAGTTTTAATGTGTGTCTCAAAGCTGGTGTGTTCTACAAATTCTGATTTTGAGAGGTGCTGTTCCTGTGGGTGTGCATAGGAC